ATATATATATCTTGATTATTGTATGTAGAAAACCAAATAGAGAAAAAAATAATGAATGCTACATTAGAAGAATTTTTCATAGGATTATCTTGTTCTTTAATCTTACTTTAAGTTATATCCTTGAAATTACAGTTTAAGATCTACCAGACATGTGCTGTCATTCTCTTCACCCCAAACCTTTATAGACTTCATAGATTATGAATCCTGAAAAAATCTTTGCTTAAATTTACAGACAAATTGTTTATGGACAAATGAAGAGTTCCTTGTAAAAACAAGAGTGAATATTCCTTTACTAAAATGAGTAACACAGAAAAATACATTTTCCTGATACATAATCAAAAATAGTCTCTCTGGCTTTTATTTAAAATGTGATTACTGAATTTTTATAGAGGAATTCACAATACAGAGTTCATTTGATATTCAATAAGTGCCTTGTCCTTTTGTCACAGATATAATTCATATTGGTTCTTCCTTAGATTATGGATGTATAAAGAAGAAAAATTCCTTTAGCTTCAATGTCAGTGACAAGAATAGAACAAGACCTATGGATTACAGTAGAGACTCCATGTTGAAAACACTAGTAAATAAATACTGGCCATAGTAGGCATGAATGAAAATATATTAAATACATTTTTATCTAAATTTCTCAGAATATGTATTTCCAAATACACAGGAAATAGATCTTTTGTAATTATTACTACACGTAAATTTTAAGTTACACTTTTGCCAATTACTATGGGAATTTGTTCATATTTTTAAAATATAATTCTTTTATAGTTCACTTAAAGATAAAATGAGTAATTTTTTTTTTTTTTTTTTAGCTTTGCACAGTTTGGTTTCAGTGAGGTCTGATCAAACCATGTGGGTAAATATTGGCTTATGTGGAGTATTCTGCTTTATAAAATTTCTGATAGAGATTAGCATTTAGGTTTGAGAAAGGAATATATAACTTATTTTCTGTATTGACACCATTTCATGACACAGTATTGCTGTCTTAAATGTGTAAAAGAAGCTGCTATGAACTCTCTTTAACCTCAAAATTCCAAAGAAAAAACTCTATTCTGGAAACTTGTGGTATACTATTTCAAAAGGATAATTATCAGTAATTATCAGATAATTATTGACAAACTCTCAATAAGCAATAATTACTGCCATAAACTTGGAAAACTGAAATAAGTTTCTACAACCTATTATGTAAATTCTATTTACTTGAAATAGCTCTGAAGTAGGACTATATTACCATTTTCAAAATGGAATCCACTTTTTAATGAACTAAATAAATCAATATTTACAAAAACTGAGACATCCTTATGTTTACTTCAATACAAACCAATCGCTACAAAATATCTAAAATAGCTACATAAAATAAAAATTATATTTTTTAAAAGGTGGTTGTATATGTCATAGAGAAATAGAATTTCTTTGAGGACAGAATAAATTGGGAAGACAAAGCCAAGAATATGAGAAATTGCTGAAGTTGCTGTATATACTGAATATGTGTATCTCTGGGGGAAAATGCTAGAAATCTGTGAGCCTTCACCTGTGCAGTACAGGGAACTATATGGGAATTCACCACACATTAAGTTAGGAGTAGAGGAAGACCTATACTACTAGAAAATATAATTAACTAAAAAGTGAATTTGAGGTTTCCCTGGTGGCGCAGTGGTTGAGAGTCTGTCTGCCAATGCAGGGGACATGGGTTCGTGCCCCAGTCTGGGAAGATCCCACATGCTGCAGAGCAGCGGGGCCCATGAGCCATGGCTGCTGAGCCTGCATGTCCGGAGTCTGTGCTCCACAGCGGGAGAGGCCACAACAGTAAGAGGCCCGCATACCACAAAAAAAAAAAAAAAAAAATTGAAGACAGTCAGAAAGTAAGGAAAATTTCTTTCTCATATTTCAGGCTCTTGTTAGAAGCAAAATAGAACTTGCTCCATGAGAACTTATGGCAATGGGCTAGGTATAGGAATTGAATTTGTGCTATTTGTCTGGTTCCAAAAAATACAAAAGAATAATTAATTTGAAGTGGAGTGGACTTGTATTTCCTCCAGGTCTCAGGGAGAAAAAAAGGAAAAGAAAGAAAAAGAACAACATCAGAAAGCTTAACTTCTAAGAGAATTGACCCTAAAAAAACAGGCCTCATAGAAATGCCATAGAGTTACAAAAAAATTATGAGCCCCAATTAAAAATCATAAAATATTATAAGAAACAAGACTATGTAAATGGTATTCATCAGAGAAAAAATTAATAATACCAGGTATATAAAGATTATAAATTAGAATTGTTGAATATTGTAGTAAACTGAATAATGAATGGTCTCCCAAAATATTGACATCTGAATCCTTGGAACCTGTGAATATGTGACCTTACATGGTAGAAGAGGCTTAACAGATATGATTAAGTTAAAGATTTTATAAGGAGACACTATGCTGGATTATTCT